AAAGGTTGGTGGTTGGAACCCACAGCTGCTCCACAGGGGAAAGATGTGGCAGTCTGCTTCCATAAAGATTGACAACCTCGGAAACCCTCTAGGGCAGTTCTACTCTGTCCTGTAGGGGTGCTGTAAGTCAGAATCGAGTCAACAGCAGTAAGCTTGGTTTGGGCTTTGCTTCCATGAAGACCAACAGCCTTGGAAACCCTCTGGGGCAGTTCCACTCTGTCCACTAGGGGCACTGGGAGTCAGAATCCACTCGACAGCAGTGGGATGATGGGTCAGCGCTAGACCAGATGTTCTATATTTACTATTATCGCTTTCATCTCTTTACAACAGCTCTGTGAGGCATTATCCTCACTTGACAGATGAGTACATTGAGGCTCAGAAAAGAAAGGTGAAGAAATTGTCTAAGGTCACATATGAGTATGAGATAGAGCTGGGATTCAAACCCAGATCTGCTTGGATCTAAAGCCAATGGTCTTCCTCACTGGTCTGCACTGAAAGAAGGGATTAGGAAAGGCCTTGAATGTCAGGCAGAGGACATTCTGCTCCCAGAAAGTGATGGAAAACAGGGCAGTAGGGTGAAAGGAAGGCGCTCTGGTGGCATAGTGCCTAAGGCATTTGACTGCTAACCAGAAGACTGGTGGTTCAAACCCACCAGCCACTCCTCAGAAGGAAGATTGGGCAATCTATTTCCATAGAGATACCACCTTGGAAACCCAAGGAGGAGTCACTATGAGTTGGAAACCATGCCAGAGAGTTTATTTTGGATTGTTGTTGAGAATACATGAAGCAAAACATACACCAATTAAACCATTGCTACATGTACAATTCTATAACAATGATTACATTCTTTGAATTGTGCAACCATTCTCACCTACATTTTCCAAGTTGTTCTTCCACCATTAACATAAACTCACTTTCCCCTAAGATTCTTATCTAATCTCTCAAGTTACTGTTGTAATTTTGATCCCATATACATAGTTTTTAAAAGAGCCTAATGCTCAATTCAGACTTTTTTTTTTTTTTTTTAATGAATTAAGCTGAACTATTGTTTGGTATCCAGAAGACTTTAAGGGATATTTTTGGTTTAAGTTTCAAAGGTTATCTTAGGGCAAACGTTTCAAGGGTCAAGCCAGCTTGGCTCCACAAAGTCTGGAGGCCATGAGAATTTAAAATTTTGTTTTACATTTTCCCGCTTTTGGTAAGGATTCTTCTGTAGAATCTTTGATCAAAATGTTCAGTAGTGATAGCCAGGCATCATTCCGTTTTTCTGATCTCATGGTAAAGAAGGCAGTTACTTATGGAGGCAATTGACCTCACCTTCTATAACCTCCTCTTACTTCTGAGTCTCCTTCTTATGTTGCTCCAGGAGAATAGAAACCAATTGTTATGTATTTGGATGGCACTTGCAAGTTTTAGGACCCCAGGCACTATGCAACAAACTAGGAGGCAGAACAGAAGTACTAAACATGTTATTAGGCCAATTAACTGGCATGACCCAAGAAACCATGACCTAAACATCCACCAAAGAACCAAATCCCATGAAGTGTGTTTGCATGTACATAAACAACCTCAACAGCTACTCATTTTATTTTTATCATTGTTGTACATATATCTGTCACACAGTTTTTGCCATTTCAACTTTTTACAGGTGTACCACTTATTGACAGCAATTACAATAGTTGGCTGTGTAACCTAATTCTTAATGACTGTGATTTTTCCATCACCCTTAGCTTCCTCTTTCCCTCTCCATCTCACCCCTGTTGTTATTGTTGTTGTTGTTGTAAGGTGCCACCAAGTCATTTTCAATTCACAGCAGTCCTATATACAACAAAATGAAACACTGCCCAGTCCTGTGCCATCCTCACAATTGTTGCTGTGCTTGAGCCTATTGTCACAGCCTATGAGTAAATCCATGTCATTGAGGGTCTTCTCCTTTTTCACTGACAGTCTATTTTACCTAGCATGATATCCTTCTTCAGGGATTAGTCCCTTGTGACAACATGATCAAAGTATTTGAGATGGAATCAGGCCATTCTTGCTTTGCAGGAGCGTTCTGGCTGTAATTCCTCCAAGACAGATTTGTTCATTCTTCTAGCAGTCCATGGTACATTCAATATTCTTCACCACAACTCAAACAAGGGGACACTACATGGTTTAAAATCAAGAAGGGAGTGCGTCAGAGTTGTATCTTTTCTCCACACTTATTCAATCTGTATGCTGAGCAAATAATCTGAGAAGCTGGACTATATGAAGAAAAACGTGGTATCAGGATTGGAGGAAGAATCATTAACAACCTGAGATATGCAGATGATACAACTTTGCTTGCTGAAAGTGAGGATGACTTAAGGCACCTACTGATGAAGGTTGAAGAATACAGTCTGCAGTATGGATTACATCTCAATATAAAGAAAACAAAAATCCTTACAACTGGACCAATGAGCAGCATCACAATAAATGGAGAGAAGATTGAGGTTGTCAAAGAATTCACATTGCTTGGTTGTACAAGTGATGCCAACGGAAGCAGCAGTCAGGACATTAGACGACGTGTAGCATTGGGAAAGTCAACTGTGAAGGAACTGTTTCAAGTGCTGAGGAGCAAGGATATCTCCTTGAGGACTAAGGTGCGCCTGACACAAACCATGATATTTCCAGTCACCTCGTATGCATGTGAGAGCTGGACAATGAATAAGGAAGACCGAAGAAGAGTTGATGCTTTTGAGTTGTGGTGCTGGCGAAGTATGCTCAAAGTACCATGGACTGCTAAAAGAACTAACAGATCTGTCCTGGAGGAAGTGCAGCCAGAATGCTCCTTGGAAGCAAGAATGGCCAGACTTGGTCTCACCTCTTTTGGTCATGTTGTCAGAAGGGACCATTCCCTGGAGAAGGATGTCATGCTTGGTAGGGTGGAGGGTCGACGAAAGAGGGGGAGGCCTTCAACGAGATGGATTGACATGGTGGCTGCGATGATGGGCTCAAGTATAGCAGGGATTGTGGGTCTGGCGCGGGATCGGGCAGTGTTTCATTCTGCTGTGCATGGGGTTGCTATGAGTCGGAAACGACTCGACGGCACTTAACAACAACAACAACAACAACTCAAATGCATTGATTTTTCTGTGGTCTTCCTTATTACTTGCCCACCTCTCATATGCATATCAGACTATTGAAAATACCATGGCTTGGGTCAGGCACACCTTAGTCTTCAAAATGACATATTTGCTCTTTAACACTTTAAAGAAGTCTAATTTGGGCAGTAGATTTGCCCAGTTCAGCGCTGCTTCTATGGATGTTGATTGTGGATCCAAGAAAATTTAAATCCTTCACAACTTCATCCATTCCTCCATTTTTCACCATGTTGCTTATTGGTACAGTTGTGAGGATTTCTGCTTTCTTTAGGTTGAGATGTAATGCATACTTAAGGCATAGGGCCTTTCATATTCATCAGTAAGTGTTTCAAGTCTTCATCACTTTCAGCAAGCAAGGTTGTGTCATCTGCATATTGCAGATTGTTAATAAATCTTGCTTCAATCCCAATGCCATGTTCTTCTTCATATAGTACAGCTTTCCGATTATTTGCTCAGCATACAGATTGAATACATATAGTGAAAAGATACAACCCTGACACACATATTTCCTGATTTCAAACCATGCAGTATTCCCTTGTTCTGCTTCTTGGTCTATCTACAAGTTCCTCATAAGTACAATTAAGTGTTCTGGAATTTCCATTCTTTGCAATGTTATCCATAATTTCTTATGATTCACACAGTTGAATGTCTTTGCATAGTCAATAAAACGTAAGTAAACCTTTTTCTGGTATTCTTTGCTTTCAGCCAAGATCCATCTGACATCAGCAATGATATCCCTCATTCCACATCCCTGGTAATCACTAATAAACTTTGGTCTCTACACATTTGCATTTTCTTATCTTTTTATTAAGTGATTGTTGTTGTTGTTGTTGTTTTGTGCCGTCGAGTCAGACCCGACTCATAGCGACCCCTCCTTGGGTTGCCGAGGCAGTATCACTACGAAAGTAGATTGCCCCATCTTCCTTCCGAGGAGTGACTGGTGGGTTTGAACCGCCAGCCTTCTGGTTAGCAGTCAAGTGCCTTAGGCACTACGCTACCAGAGCTCCTTTTATTAAGTGAAGTCATATAATATTTGTCCTTCTGTGACTGACTTTTTTCACTCAGCGGAATGTCTTCAAGCTCCATTCATATTGTAGTAGACTTTGTTTCTTCTACTGGCTGAGTGGTATCCCATTGCATATATGTATCACATTTTGTTTATTGATTCATCAGTTGGTAGGCATTTAGGTTGTTTCCATTTTTTGGCCATTGTGAATAGTACTGTAGTGAACAATGGTGTACATGTTTCTTTTTGAATCTCTACTTTCAAGCTTTTTTGTTATATACTTAGCAGTAGAATTGCTGGGTCAGTCTTAGTTCTATTTTCAGTTTTTTGAGGAAGCGTCACACTGTTTTCTACAAAAGCTATACAATTTTGCATTCCCATCAGCAGTGGATAAAGGTTCCAATTTCCCCACATTCTTGCCAGCATTTGTTAGTTTTATTTTATTTTTTAATTTTCTATCTTAGCCATCCTGGTGGGAGTGAGTGAAATGGTATTTCATTGTGGTTTTGATTTGCATCTCTCTGATGGCTAATGATGCTGAGCATCTTTTCATTTGTTTGGTGGCCATTTGAATGTCCTCTTTGGTGAAATGTCTATTCAAATCCTTTGCCTATTTTATAATTGGGTAATTTGTCTTTTTGTTAAGTTATCAAAATTTTATATATATTTTGGTTATTAGATTCTTATTGGATATATGGTTTCTGAAGATATTCTCCCAGTTGGTAGCTTGTCTTTTTTTTTTTTGTAAAGTCTTTTGATAAACAAAAGTTTTTACTTTTTATGAGGTCCCATAGAAGTTTTGCTGTTTGTGGCTCCGTAGGATTTCCAATAGCTGAGCTTTTAGAAGCAGATTGCCAGGCCCTCCTTACAAGGTACCTCAGGGTGGAGCTTACCTCCAACATTTTGGTTCGTAGGTGAGCATGTTAATTGTTTGCACCACTCAGAGACTTTACTTGTCCTATAGGTAGTTAGAAATAGGTCTGTATCACAGGAGATAAGTTAGATTGGAGATTTTGATTTGAGATTCAAATGAAGTAGCTTCCCGGATGCATTAAAAAAAAAAAAAAAGAATAAGCACTTGCAAGGTGGGGGAAGTGCCTCCTGATTGTCACATGTAGTGTGAATTGAGTTTGTTTACCTGTGCTTCTAGGTTGCAAGACTAGTCCTAGAGAGAAGAGGACCCAGCACTGCACAGCAGTGTCCTTCAGCTAATGCCAGCATGGGAGATGGACGTGCTACTGTTTCCTTGGTAACAACCTTGTCGGGCAGATCCACAAGCTGTGTCTCGGTGACAGATGGTGAGAGAAAAGAGAATTGCTTGTTACTATTGTCATATCTTTGTGGGCTGCTTTTGAACTGTCAACTCAAAAGGGAAAGGCAGGGATGCTTTCTCTGGGTTCTCAAAAGAAAGAGCAGTGGTGATGAAGAGTCCAACTTTCAGATAGAGTGGAAGCCAATCTAATGGAATTGTTTCTGGAAAAAAATATATTTCATCCCAAAATGATAGCCAGGCATAATTCTGCTCCCATTCCTCTCTAAGTCTTCTGATCAGCTGCCAGAGTGTTTGTTTTTATGTAAGAATGAAATTGATGTGTAAGGGTCAAGCATTTTCTGGCCCAAGGTCTACTTTCCAGCCAAGATATTTGTAACAAAGGATGTGAGAATGATTAGGCAGGTTGGGAGACAAAGGTGTTCAGGAATTATACCTTTATTGTCACCATCATTTTAAAAAGAAAATCCATAATCAGTTTGTTGTTGTTAGGTGCTGTTTAATTGATTTTGACTCATAGTGACTCTGTGCAACAGAGTAGAACTGCTCAATAGGGTTTTCTAGGCTATAATCGTTATGGAAGTAGATCACCAGGTGTCTTAGGCTAGGTTCTCTCGAGAAGCAAACCAGTATCTCTCTTTTATGTGAGAGAGAGAGAAAGAGAGAGAGAGACAGAAAGACAGAAATTTTTCTCAGGGAAATGGCTTACACAGTTGTAAAGGCTGGCAAGTTCCAAATTTATGGATCAAACATCAAGCTGGAGGCTTTTCTGACTCACTCAGCTGCAGGGGCTGACAAACCCAGGATGGGCAGGCTGTATAGCAGGCTGCTGCTTTTGGCAGGTGATGAATCCAAGATCAGCAGGTAAAATGGTGGATTGATTGTTGGCTAACAAGCTGTGAAGATAATAATTTCAAGATCGCAGGCAGTATGGCAGGTCACTGGTTCAGCTCCAAAAACCAGATGATAAACTAGATGCAGGATCCAGATCTAGCAGAAAGTCCGAGCATTTTCCTAGGATGTCTATATATATATATATATATATATATATGTATGTATGAAACAGGTCACACTCTTGATGAAACTCTCTTTCAACTGAATGGCTGCTCACAGCATATCCCACCATGGAGGTGACTACCTTACATCAGATGTCATCATGGGAACAACCATACCATAGATGCTTAAACCACTCAGAATCATGGTTCAGCCAAGTTGGTACACAGCTTTACCAGGTCTTTGAGCCATGGGTGGGTTCAAACCACCAACTTTCTTGTTAATAGCCAAGCGCTTAACAGCTGTGCCACCAGGGTGCCTTACAATCAGTTTAGAGTGGCATAATCACGTATCTTCTGATAGATTGTCTCTCTGCACTTTCCCCATGATTTAGTTTTCTGCTAAGAAAACATTTATTTCCTTAGTATTTCATGATGTGAGGCTTAGCCATGTTTTAATCTCTTTCTAGAGATTTTCAGTCCAGCTGCAAAACCTGTCGTATGTCAGATTAGGGGCAACGTAGCCATAGCAGTGGAAGTGTTTGGTGGAGCCAAGAGGAAACACGTCCATAATGTTTCTTCTTTCATTGCTCCTCTGCTCATTCCAATGAGGACCTTTAAGAAATTAACTGTAAAATGAGCTAAAGATCTCAGATGATGGTGATGGTGAAATTGGTCATCCAACATATTTTCACTTAGCTGGTTCAGGGACTTTCATTCTTGCCTCAAACCAAAAGTTACAAGTGAGGTCTCTGTCCCTCTATTTGCTAATTGCCAACCGAGTTGGTGAAAGCAGACAGGGGAGAGATGGGGGAGGAACAGAGGCTTCTTGGGCTGTCAGATGACCTAGGTCTCAAGTGCTGTGTCCATCCTTGGTGTCTAGATGCAGGCATTTTGCTTGAAGATCAATCTACCCAGTTAAGCAAAAGAGCATCTAAAACATTGTCCGTAGAGTTGATGGTAATTTTCTCCATGGTCTAATTATGCAAAATTTCATTTTAAGTATACTGAAATATGATTGGGATTCTAAAGGTTAAATAGGAGTTCTACTGACTGTCAGAGGCAGTATATATATTGTATATGCACATTAACTGTTACATGTAAATTAAACTTTGTTGATTATTTATAATTTCACTGTCCAAGATGATAGTAGGAGTGCCTGGGTGATAAAAATGCTTAACGTGGTTGGCTGCTAACAGAAAGGGAGGAGGTGGAGTCTACCTAGAGGCACCTTGGAAGAAAGGCCTGGTAATCTACTTCCAAACCCTATGGAGCGTAGTTCTATTCTGACATATATGAGGTTGCCATGACTCAAATCCACCAACAGATCTAGCCTAATATGATAGTTACTTGTCACATGTGGCTCTTGAGCTCTTGAAATGTGACCAATCCAAATTAATAAAACATGTACTGGATTTTGAAGAATCAATGTATAAAAAGAGTAAAGTGTCTCAATATTTTTTTCATATCCATTAATGTTGAAATGGTAATATTTTAGATATAGTGTGCTAAATAAAGTATCTGATTAACATTTATTTTTCCTGTTTATTTTTCACTTTAACATGGCTGTTTGAAAACTTTGAAATTACTTATGTGCCTTGCATTGGTAGCTCACATTATATTTCTACTGGCAACACTCTGTAACACATAGAATGGACTGTCATAAAAATTTCCAAAATGAATAATTTTTATGTAAAACAGAAATAATTCATCTATTTGAAAGCTTGAAATTTGAGACTGTTCAACGTCATTTGAAATCTACTGAAGAATTTCTTTTATTAACATCTCACAATACAGGTCATAAGTTCGAAGTCAAACTGAAAAAGAATGCCAGTGGTTTGGGATTCAGTTTTGTGCAGACGGAAAGAGAGACCTGCAATCACCTCAAGAACAATCTTGTGAGGATTAGGAGGCTCTTCCCTGGGCAGCCAGCTGAGGAGAATGGGGCAATTGCCGCTGGGGACATCATCCTGGCCGTGAATGGGAAGCCCACGGAGGGCCTCGCTTTCCAGGTCTGGGAGGCCAGGAGACATGCAGTGTTGTGTGGAAGCTAATAATCCCCCCTCCCCATTCCCAATTCTTCTAGGTCTACCACCCCAGGGAATCTTCTGGGCTCTCAGAAGTCACATGTCAAGACTGGTCTTTGATCACATAAAGACAGCAATTTGCAGAATATTCTCACATTTCATTTTCCATCTCAGCTTTCAATATCTGTCCTTGAGATTTGGGCCTATGAGAATGGAGAAGTATCCCTTTTTCATGACCTCTATCTTTTTATTAATTACATTTTTTTTTTAATCTTATGAAGGACAATTAGTATAATGCTATGTATAAGAACCCTTGCTTCTAATTGAGTTTGTAATTGGAACTGAAGATAAAATGCTGGCTTTTGTGTCGGCAAAATTCCTCTTAGTATACACTCAGCTATGTGGGGTGTGAGGACTTGAAAGGACTAGCCCAAGCCCACTGCCATTGAGTCAATTGCAAGTCATAGCAACCCCCACTGGACTTCCAAGACTATAAATCTTTATGAAAATAGATAACCTCATCTTCTTCCCACAGAGAAGTTGGTGGTATTGAACCTCTGTCTTTCTGGTTAGCAGCCAAATGCCTTACCCACTACACTACCAGAGCTTCTTTGAAGGAACTAAAGTGAGTCCCTTTCTTTGTTCCTTCCCATTTCTCCACTACATTTATGGCTTTGACACATAGTATTACACTGATTGTCCTGTATAAGATCAAAAATGTAATTTTAAAAAAGGGAGCATTTAATACTTCTTAATACTTATAGCCCTAAACCCAATGAAATACCATCTATTTCAGTCTGGGTCCAGGTAGAGAATAGAGTAATCTGACGAGAGTTTAATAAAGGTGTGGGCAGTTGTTGGGAAGCTTATGCGGGAGTGTAGTTCTCTGGGGAAAGTAATAGTGGAGTACAGTTACACACCCCCAAGCCTGAAGGAACAGTTACCCAATTACAGAAATGGAGAGGACTCCCTGACATGAGCTGTGCCCTCAGCCAAGGGACACAATCATCACATGGCAATCTCACGGAGAGGAAGACAAGTAAACAAACACCTGCCTTCTTCTCTTCCCTGTCTCAGATCTCTTACCCCTTCTCTCCTTAGTGGAAAGAAGTACACAAAGAAGAGTAGACAATGTATCTGAGTAGGGAGGCCTTCCCTTCATCCGTCCATACTTTGAGAACCTCCTCTGAGTACTGTGTGAACAACTGAAGGCACAGAGACAGACAGTTCTTGTGGTCTCAGAGATCACAGTGGGCATGGGGACAGACAAGGAAACCACAGTGACTATAGAAAACAAGCACCATGAGAGAGGAAAGCCCGAGTTGCAGTGCTGCACTCGGTAGCTGGGGAAGAAAGATTATTCTGGAAAGTCTTTTATGGTTAAGGGGGTGCTAAGTCTAGATCAGTGGTCATACATAAGGATGACTTTGCCCCCTAGGCAGCATTTGGCAATATCTGGAGGCATTTTGGAGAGGGGAGTATCCCAATGACATTTAGTGGGTTTGCTGCTCAGTACCCTACAATGCTCAGGACAGCCCCTACAATAAAGAATTATCTGGCCTCAAATGCCTGTATTGCTGAGGTTAAGAAACCTTGCTCTAGCTAGAAAATGGACACTAATTTTTTCTTAAATTTTTATTGTGATTTAGGTGAAAATTACAGAACAAATTCATTTTCCACACAGCAGTTCACATACACTTTGATTCATGATATTGACTGCAATTTACCACAATGCAACAGCTCCCTTCCCACTTCCTCCCCATAGTTACCTCATCCCTCCCATTCATTCATGGCCCCTGAGCTGTCTCCCTGTGCACAGCCCTTCTAGTCTCCCATGACTGATCTCTCCAAGGAGTGTATCTAATGAATGAATGTAATTGTTCAGCTCATATGCCTGTCTTTTGTTTGATCAGGAGCAACAGGAGTGGGTTCAGTTCCAGACTTGAAAGGCAGCTAGGGGCCATAATCTCAGTGCTCTATGAGACCAGCAAACATGGTCCCTTTTATTTTATTTTTATGATTTTGAGTTTTGTTCCACAATATTCTCCCATTCTATCCAGGATCTCCTACATAGATCTCCCTCTGAGTGGTTGACAGTGGTAGCTGGGCACGCTCCAGTTCTTCTGGTCTCATAGTTGTATAGGCTGAGGATCACATGGTGTACCACTCCCTTGGACTAGTTGTTTCCATGCATTTTGGTTTTCTTCATTCTTCTTTGCTTTGGATGAGGAGAAGCCCATCGTTGCATCTAGATGCCTGCCTACAAGTTTTTAAGATTCTAGTCACTACTTGCCAAAGTAGAATGTGGAACAATGTTTTTGTGTAGTGTATTATGCCAATTGAGCTTGATGCCCCCCCCCCCGCCCCGCGACCATGGTCCTGAGTCCACAGGTCCAACTTGCTCCCTCAGGGTAGGTGGCTGTGGCCAAGAAGTGACTACAACCTGGTCCCTTAACAGGTTTACAATATACCTGGAAATTTTTACAGAACATAAAAATACACTTGTAGAAACACTGCCTGCCAACCCTATATACAGTCATGGGCACACTCCTCCCTGCAGAGACATACCCAATCATTCAGCCTATCCACCCACCTATCCACCCATAGATCAATGTTCACCATCACTGACAATGCAGTACTGCATGTACAAAAGGCTTCATCTTTGTTGACTGTACCTCCCATGCACCTATCTGTCTTCCTCTTCCTCAATGCCACCGTGTTGATCACTCATATTTGGTACATTGCCCTTCCCTTCACCCAAATCAGTACTTGTCTCTACCTATCTAGCAGTGTTACCTCCCTTCCCCTCCTACCCCTGGTAACCAACAAAGAAAATTTCCTTCCATATATAAACCTTTCCTTGACTTTTTAAAATAATGGACTAATACAATATTTGTCCTTCTGTGATTGACTTATTTCACTCAGCATAATGTCATCCAGGTTCATCCAAGTTATGCGGTGTTCTGCAGATTCTACATTATTCTTTAGGGTTGCACAGTATTCCATTGTGTGTATGTACCATAGTTTAGTTATCTATTCTTCTGTAAATGGGCACCTAGGTTGTTTCCATCTTTTTGCTATTGTAAATAGTGCTGCAAATGAACATGGGTGTACATATATCTGTTCTTGTCCTGGTTCTTACTTCTTTGGGGGAATATACCTAGTAATGGAATTGTTGGGTCAAATGGTATTAATAATTCCAACTTTTTAAGGAATTACCATACTGATTTCCACAGTGGTTGTATCATTTGACAGTCTGACAAGCAGTATACGAGAGTCCTAATCTCTCCACATGCTTGCCAGCATTTGTTATTTTCTGTCTTGTTGAACTTTGCTACTAGGGCTGGGGCAAGATGGTATCTCTTGTTATTTTGATTTGCATCTCGCTAATGGCTAATGATCTTGAACATTTTGGCACATGTTTTTTGGCTGCCTGAATATACTCTTTGGTGAAGTGTTTATTCATGTCTTCTGCCCATTTTATAATTTGTCTTTTTGTTGTTGAAGTGGTTGAGTTTCCTATACATTTTAGAGATAAGTCCCTTGTCAGATAAGTAGTTGCTAAATATTTTTTTCCACAATCTGTAGGTTCTCTTTTTAGTTTTTTGGGGAAGTCTTTGGAAGCACATAAAAAATTTAATTTTTAGAAGGTTCCATTCATCTAGTTTCTCTTCTGCTATTTGTGCATTTTGGGTTATGCTTGATAGTCTGTTTATGCCATGTATTAAGACCCTTAAATGTCCTCGGGGAGCTGCTCTGGTGGAGTAGTGCCTAAGGCATTTGACTACTAACCAGAAGGCTGGCAGTTCAAACCCACCTGCCACTCCTTGGAAGGAATGTTGGGCAATCTACTTCCATAGTGATACTGCCTCAGAAACCCACGGCAGTGGTTGCTTTGCGTTTTAAAATGTCCCCTATTTTTTCCTTGAGGAACTTCATAGTTTCAGGTTTCACATTTAAGTCTTTGCTCCACCTAGAGTTAGTTTTTGTGTATGGTGTGAGGTACAGATCTTGTTTCATTTTTCTGCAAATGGATCTCCAGTTTTGCCAGCACCATTTGTTAAACAGACAATCTCTTCCCAATTTAATGGATTTTGGCTCTTTGTCAAAGATCAGCTGACCATAGGTTGATGGATCTATTTCTGGGTTCTCAATTCTGTTCCACTGGTCTATGTGTCTGTTGTTGTACCAATACCAGGCAGTTTTGACTACTGTGACTGTTTAGTAGGTTTTGAGATCTGGCTGTGTGAGACCTCCTAGTTTGTTCTTCTTCTTCAATAGTGCTTTGCTTATCCGAGGTCTCTTTCCATATAAATTAGTGATTGGTTTTTCCATACCCCTAAAGAATGTTGATGGGATCTGGATTGGGATTGCATTGAATGTATAGATTGCTTTGGGTAGAATTGACCTTTTCACAATGTTCACTCTTCCTATCCACGAGCATGGGATGTTCTTCCATTTATGTAGGTCTTATGGTTTCTTGAAGTAGTCTTTTGTGGTTTTCCTTGTAGAGGTCTTTTGTGTCCCTGGTAAGATTTATTCCCAAATGTTTTGTTTTCTATTGCAAATATTATGGATTTTCTTATTTCTTTTTCAGCAATCTCTTTGCTGGTGTAGGGGACTCCAACTGATTTTTGTATGTTGATCTTGTATCCTGGCACTATTCTAAATTCCTCAATTAGTTCCAGCAGTTTGTTTTTACTGAGTCTCTTGGGTTTTCTATGTATAGGATCATATCATCAGCAAATAGGGATAATTTTACTTCTTACTTACCAATTTGGATGACTTTAGAAAATGGACACTCTTATAGCCAAATATTAGAAAAGGGAGGGGCTCAAGAGAGAAAACCCCATGCCTTGAGGCAACTGTTGAGAAGCCAGCTTGGAGCAGAAGGTTCAGCATGGTGGGACCTTAGGGTGTGGGAGTGCAGAGAGCCAGAATGAGATTGAGAGCAGGAGAGAGGCAGCAGTAGTGAGGCCAGCCTCTGCATATTGGGTCATGGGGCTTACATTGAGGGGTATCAGTCAGAGGAGTTAGTAGGAGGAGGATTTGGCTATGTCTGAAGTTTGAAAAGATTATCCTTGAGCAATGTAAAGGGTTGTAGATGGCAGGGAGCAGGGAGGAGGGTATTGCAATATCACAAGTAAGAGTCTGCAAGGGCCTAAAATTAAATGGACCATGGCAGAAATATCAGAGCTGAGAGTCAGATTTTAGAAATTGGCTGTGGAAAACCCTACACAATTGGTAGACTGGTGACCTCTTAGATGATGATGGGCTAGGAAGGAGGGAGGCTGAGATGGGAACAATCATTTGCTTGAGTCATATCTCTTGGTCTGAAGAAAAGCATCAGCCTAGCTTGAGTCATATCTCTTGGTCTGAAGAAAAGCATCAGCCTCTGCAGACACTGCCACTAAAGGCCCTGGGAAGACACAGGTCATTTCCAGTCTAGTATCTGTGAATGGCCAATAATGGGGGTGGGGTCATGGCTCCTCACACTTTGGGAAGTCAGGTCCACTGTATCATTGCTCACAGTTCTCTGAAGTTGAGAAATAAATCAAGGTGGGAGAAGAAGGTGGAGGAAACAGTGCCAGGGAGAAAGTGGGGAGCAGAGGGAAGGAGAGTCTGGAGCCTGCCTAGTAGCCCACAGACAATGCTCAGCCCCAGCTCAGACCATGTTATTTGGTCTTTCATAGGAGGTGCTCCATTTACTGCGGGGAGCCTCTCAAGAAGTCACGCTCCTCCTCTGCCGGCCCCCATCAGGTGCACTGTCTGAGATTGACGATGGATGGCAGGTAAGATGCAGTGCGACTGGTCTCTTCACATGGCTCCTGCTCAGGCATAATCTTTCTTCTCTGGTGGGCCCTGCTAAGTTCAACTTTCCCTATAGATAGGGTTCATTGTCACCTTATTTTACTTGAGCAGAAGACAGTTGGTCTCCAAAACAGTCTGTGCAAGTTCATGAACTTATATCTGTTTTCTCCTTCTGGTTTCCTCTCCCAACTTCTGCCTTTTTTGATATGTGGGTTTTCCCAAGTGTTTAGATGTTTACATCTTGGCCCTAAAAGTTCTAGAGTCAGGCTGTTCAATGGCCTCGAAATCAGAGAGGGGAAATTAGGAGCAAGAGGAATAGATATAAAAATAGACTAAGGAGAACAGGAAAAGAATTTCCATTCCAGGGAAAGAAGTGGAAAACAGGATGGATGTCCACCTTTATAAAGCATGAAATGGAAATCAGAATCAGGAACATCTGTGATTGCTATCTTGATAGTGTTCATTGGATTCCCAGGAAATAATCTCTGGGGCAGAGATTTGTGTGTTGGAGGTTTCTAGGTTGAGCTCCCAGGAACATCACCTTGTGAGAGGAGGGGAAGTAGGGCTAGGAGAAGTTTATTATGATGCAGCTGCAAGAGGGGCTTCATCTGACCCTACTGGGTACTCTGAAACTGGGCTGACCCTTCACACTGTCCCCCAATTTTTTTAAGAGCAGCATGACTTTTGTACCTCTGCATCAACCAGTGTTGGGATGTAGGCTGCCCTGAGGGTAGGGGCCTGACTTTGGGTGAAGTAGCTCCCTTCAGAGGAAGGTAACTCCTGACCTTGAGTAGCATACGTTTTAGTCTACAAGGGAATATAGACAAGTGTGTAAATGATGAAATAAGGTAATTTGAGATAATAATCATTACTCTCAAGGAGATTAAATAGGATGGTCATGCTATGGAGAGTTTAGCTAGTGTGTGGTCAGCAAGGTCATATTTGAGAATTGTTGATGAGAAGGAAGTGACCATACAAAGATATAAAGTCAAATCATTCTAGAAAGTACAGAGGCTCTGAGACAGGAATGATGTTTGAGGAGCAAAAATAAAGCAGGTGTGCCTGGGGTATAGTGAAGGAAGAGGAGAGTGAAAGGGAATAAATCATAGAGTTAGTCAGGGGCCAAATCGGCCTCCTAGGTCACATAATATGTTGATTCCATCTTGTATCCAATGGGAAGCCTCCAGAGGTTTAAACAGGAGCATAGCCTTATTGGTTCATAGTTTACAAAGATGACTCAGGTTGCACATGGTGACTGATGATTATGGAATTTGGAGGAGTATCAGGCTGAATTTACTCAGGAAGTAG